CAAGAGAAAGTGATGGAGGGAAACCTTAAATTTCCTGCAAATAGTACCATATTGCTGTAAGGCAATGTTTCGAATAAAATAAACAAGCATTATTTTTTACAAGACTAGTGGTTACACAAAGTGGATCCAAGATTTTCATTGCATTTATATAGCAAAATTAGCCTTTCACTTGTTCTTACCAAAACATTGCTCTCACATTCTCACATAATGTTAGTGCATTGCATCTAACTTAGTAAGGATTCATGGCAGTTCTTGTCTTCACGTGGCACAGTGGACTTTAAGCAAATGTAAAGGGCTGAACCATAGGAGCCTGCTTCTGGTTTAGGCCACAAACCAGTTAAAATGATTGTATATTCACAGGCAGAAGATTCCAGGCAATTGCATTTCAACTTGCAGTGTTACTTTGTTGCTTTTACAATTGTCTGACTTTGTAGCTACAGAAAACGAGGAGTTATCTCTATTATAAACTATTCTTTTGACTTATCCATATTGCTTGAATATTATAGTGACTTATCTGATTATATTCTCTTATCTTTTGTTTATTCAAGCATAGCTCACTGATGGTGGATATTGAGCATATTTTACTCTCACAACTAGTGATAACAAATCTGAGGACACTGCATGTTGTTTCTTTCATAAGATGGCAAATTTTCCTTTAATATTATTATACTCTCAAATGCCCTTATAAGTGCCTCACCTGATTTTTGAAATGTTCACTTGTGAAACCAGGAGCTGTATTATTGTTTATAAATTCAAGCACATAAGTACTTACGTCCTTTTCTATTTCTCTATGTTCTGCACCCTCACTCCAGCCATGCTGTTTCTGACATAGTTGGTAGGGCAGAGCCCTCCATACACTGCCAGCTGTATCAGTGGTCCTGCTCCAAAACAGAGATCAGTTCCCATGGCCACATACCCTTCATTGCAACTTCTTCATTTCTAGGATCAAGAAAGACAAAAGTTAAATCAGGAACAATATAGGTCAGGTTGCAAATAATAGCACTGGAGACAATGTTCTTTAATTCTCTAACCACCATCACAAGCAATGTTCCAGTGAAGTTGGATTCAGCAAATGATAGATATGAGAACCATTCACAAAGTCTCAGTTCATGGGTAAAGCGTTTTAAAGTCATTCGCCACAAACTACAAGAATGGCCTCTAATCCAATTTCCATTGGTGTTTTCATTCACATTTAAAGTTTCGAAGCACAGTTTTTATTCTTTATATTACTATAAAACTTTTGTTGTGCTGAGCACCTGCCAAAACTGGTCATTCCTCTACACTCACAGAGTTACAGGACTCCCCATAATTCTTCAAAGTCCTACTGAAAAGCAATTCCACACACTGCTGAACCCTATAGTTAAACGCAATTAAAGCAATGATTAATTCTTTTCAATTTCTTTTATTATTTTGAGGGTAGTGAAACAGAACAGAACAAGACAAAATATAGTCAATTGAGACAGTGCAGTGAAATTGATACAGAACATCACAACTAAGTTACTGGGATAACAGTAATAGGTATCACAATAAAATCTCATTATCTTCACAGTAATTGTTCTTTCAATCAGGTATAGAAAAATCAAACCAAATGGAGAATATTATAGAACTTATCAAAAGAGAATACTGTATAGAACAATACAATTAATCAGAGAACAGCAAAACAATGATAACGATATTTGCCTTCAAAGAGATGGTAGATGGAAATGCCCACATTAGCTATATTACATATGTTCAATCTCCCAAGAGATGGTCAGATGTCTGGCTCCCATTTGCTAAAGAGGGTACAGGGGAGGATGGAATGTTTGATTCTCAGCTGGCCTGCACTGATAGGCTCACTGCTGCTAATCAGGGAGATGTGCTGGTTGCTTGGTGTATTTTGCACATGCACTGCTTCCTCACAAAATATGGAATCCTTACATACCACAAATATGTGGTAAGAAACAAAATTGTGTTTGGTCCTGATCTTGAACAAATTCTAAGTGACTTTTATTCTGACATTGAGTTAGGAAACAAATGAAATTTCCCGATTTCTTTTTTACATCTAGTGTGTTCCTTTCAACTTATGACTCATTAAGTCTCTCATAGAGTGTCATGTAATTTTCATTTGTCATCCTACACTTAATCTTAGCCAAATGGCCTAAAAGCAATACATTCATCATTCTAATACGGAAAACAAACACAAATAAAAAGTTTCCCTAGCACCCTACCTTTTGTGAATTTACCACATACCCCAACTGTATAAGATTTAATAAAATTATGTCACCCTGAGACTATATAGAGAAGACAATGTTCCATCCTAGCTCTTCTTTTAGTACATTATTCTGTGTCTTTTGTGAAAATAGACACCAAACACTAACAATGCGGAAAGAATTCAGAGACCAGTGAACAGGAACACACTCAGTGATGAAATAAATTACCCATGTCAGTTTTCTGTTGTCCTGCAAAACAACAACACCTTGACTTTGCCATTTTTTAACAACAGATAACAATTATTTCGCAGATCTCAGGGTCAGAATTCATGCTGAAAGGAAATCAAGGAGTGGAGAAGGCTGTGCTACTGCAGCAGGAAGGTAAAGAATGTGCCTTTAAAATTCAGAGATGCTCACACATTGCCCACTCCTTATCCTGTTCTCCTCTCAGTCCATGTTTGTGTCATGAAATCCCTGCTCTGATTGTGACTTAGTTCCTCCCTGTGACAAGAGTTGCTATGATAGTTTTACTCTCATATAATTCATAATCCATTCCAAAAAAGAGAACCCTTGTCTTAATCACATCTGCAAGATTGCTTTGGACAGAGAACATTAACTCTTATAGGCTCCATATATTATGACATGGATATTTCTGGGGTGTTATTAATCTATCAACAACTGTCTTGATTGCTCCCAAAATTATCATCCCTTAAAGTGGAATAAAGTTCAGAAGGCAGATATGTAAAGCAAGAGTGTTACAGACAGCTGGGTTACTCAGAAATGTTTTAGGCAGTCAGACAGGGCTGGGCTCTCAAAGGAGTCTGTACAGGAGTTCAGATACCTTGCAAATGTGGGGGGAAACTCCTCCCACTATGAGCCAGATCTCAAGACAAAAGGCAAAGCAAATGCAACCACATCCTAAGGATGGATAGTCCAAATGATTCTTTATCACCCTTAAGAAGCTAGGAATCACCATCTAAAACCCTACAGAAAGAGTCACTGCTATTAAGCTCCACTTGCTACATAACTCCTTTCCCATTAGTCCCTGATTTAATCAATTTTTACCCAAGCGATTCATCTTACTGATTAACCATAGTTCTGTCCCACCTTATCAGTTCCCAGGTTTTCCCCACCTTGGATGCATCTCATTTTGTGGTCTTTCTCTATAAAATTCCCTAGAAAAGGCAGTCTTTGGCAACCCACTCGGGACAACTTTTGTCTCTCTCTCTCTCAGGCAGAAGATTTCATTCTCTCAACAAATATATTTTTCTCTTTCTTTTGTTCCTATAATTCATTGTTTGATTTTAGGGAACATTATTTCCTACCAGGCATCCAGTAGGTCGGGAGTTTCATCCCCCTATATCAAGGGAGCTGGATAAAATGTGATAATCAGGGTCCTCTTGTTTGTGGGATTTAAGCAAAGTGGTGCTTGTTTTACTTCTGCTTTATGTGTCAGCATGTGAAGAAATTTACTAGAAATTTCTCTGAGTTTCTGAACCAGATAAAAGCAATCACTCTTAAATCTAATCTGAATGAAATTGGTTAGTGAAAATTGCTTACTTCTGGAATTTTCTTAGTATTTTTTTCCCATTAATAAAGGAGAGTAGAAAACATCATACAAGAAATGCTCTCAATTATCATATATTTGTTTATTGTCTTATACTGGATACAAGGTCAAGTATTCCTAAGCAAGATATTGCTGCTTTCTAGAAAGTTTCATTGAGTTTCAGTGCCCAGGAAACACAATAGGTTTGTGAACAGGCTATCAAACAAAAGTCTGGCCAAGGACACTGATGGAGATTTTAGTAAGGTTCCCCTAGGCTTCAGAGCTTGGGTGCTGGAGACACATCTTTTCCCAATTCCCAAGCTGTTAACCTCAATGAGATGGCCAAGGCAAAGACGCAGGTGGGAGACAGGTGTTGACAACATAGTCCAAATGTTATCATCACAGAAGCTCTTTCTCCTTGCACATCTGCACTATATCCACAGGACAAAGTGACATCTTCCTGAGAGTTATAGAGTGATGTGAATTCTTAGGTCACTATGAGGTCCTCATTGCTGGCTGAGATGTTGCCCTGACGGTGCCCTTTTGAAACCTTCAGTGAGTACAGTTGTTGTCACTGAAGTCATCAGGTCAGATACATCAACTCTGCCTGCTGGTAAAATGTGGAAAATCATTCCAAATGGCACAAAAGATGCAGAACATTGGAGACTCCAGATCCGTTATAGGACACAGCCCAGTTAGACTCTAGATATGAAAGAGACCTTTAGATTTACATAAAGGCAGATTTGTGTGTGAGGCACTAAGTGGAGATTCTGGTATTATCCTGTTGCATCTGCAGCTCATTTCTTTAATTTGTGCCGCTCATGACCATGCCTTAAGGCTGTTATAACATATATTTAAATTCATTGAACACAGTTTTGACAAATATTCAATTTTGATTTAAAGAGGTGACACAACTTCACATTCACAAATATGTTGTGACAGAAATTTAAACCTTTTGCAGTGAGGAAATTTAAGGTAATAAAATGTTCAAAAAAATCTCACTTTCTAATTTTACTCTGTGGTCCTTATAAACATTGACAGGATCTTACATTGTCACAAGGGAAATGAAGAGAGATGTTATTATTCCATGTTCTCAGTATATTACCTCCAGATTTTAAGATGTCTTAATACTGTTCTAGAATAAGATGATCTCCAGGGGGAAATCTGTTGTTGGTATAAAACCTTCATTAAACTGTTCTGATCTGAGTACATCTGGTCTGTGCAGTTACTGAAGTGAGTCAGCCCTGCAGCTGTGCCCAGTCCTGAGTAACCCCAGCTGCTTTGCATGTTCTCAGGGCACAGCATGAGGACATCTTAATAGGCTGCCCACATCTTGTGCAGGAGGCAATCGCATTGAGGACACAGCGTGGCAATGAGGGTCCCCACTCAGCTCCTGGGGCTTCTGCTGCTCTGGATCCCAGGTAAGAATGGACAGCACTGGGGATTTCATCATCACAGGGCAGTCACTGCTGCCAGGCTTTCATGGGATTCTTCTTTTAATATAATCCTGTGAATATCTGTGTTTATGTTTCCCATGTCAGGTGCACGATGTGACATCCAGATGAGTCAGTCTCCTTCTTCGGTGTCTGTATCCCTTGGAGACAGAATCACCATCACTTGCAAAGCCAGTCAAAATACATATAGTAGCTTGGTCTGGTATCAGCAGAAACCAGGGAAACCTCCTACGCTCCTGATCTATGCTGCAAGCAGTTTGGCATCTGGGGTCCCATCGAGGTTCAGTGGCAGTGGATCTGGGACAGATTTCACTCTCGCCATCAGTGGTGTGAAGGCTGAAGACGTTGCAACTTATTATTGTCAACAGCATAGTAGTTACCCTCTCACAGTGATACAAGCCATAACAAAAACCAAGCAGAGAAGCAGAAGTGGGAGACTGAGCTGTCTCAGTTGATCCTCCTGGTGCCCCCTCCTCCTGACAGCATTTCTCAGATGTAAACAGTCTTTGAAGTTCATTTGGAGGTTTTGGGAAAAGAGACAGGGAGACTCCTCTGTACCCCAAGTCTATCTCCTCCTCATCCCAGGCACATACACAGGACAATGCCTTGCTAATTTCATAGAGGACACACCTCAAGACAAGTGGAGAATAGCGATTGTTGGATTGCAGCAACACCTGAAATTCATACCACAAAGTAGAAGCTTACTTTGCTCTCTCTGACTCTGACTCTGTCTCTATCTCTTTCTTTTATCTCCCCGTCCTCTCCACAACATACTCTGTCTGTTTGTCTTTCACTCTGTCTCTCTGTCTCTCTGTCTCTCTGTCTCTCTGTCTCTCTGTCTCTCTCTCTGTTTCTCTCTCTCTCTCTCTCTCTCTCTCTCTCTCTCTCTCTCTCTCTCTCTGTGTGTGTGTGTGTGTGTGTGTGTGTGTGTGTGTGTGTGTGTGTGTGAAGCTTATGTGGAACTCAGAGAAACAAATTGCAGCTGAGTATCTATCCCATAACAGCCTCAACTAAATTCAAACAAACCCCATTAGTAGGCCTGTCACCTGCAAGAGACTTGGCATAGCACATGTGACGAGAGTTGTGATAGACATATTTTCTGAATAAATGAACAAGAGTGTAGGTAGACCTAAGTGTAACTTCAAAGGAATTCTCCCATCATTGTTTTTTCATTAACATCAGCTTAATGATCTTGCAGTTAAATGTCAAGTGAACAATACAATGCATATCTATGTGTAACAATTTTTATATAATTGTAGAATGATAATATTTAGTATCATTCTGAAATTCATATTTTTCCACTTTGTCCACTATATCTTTATGATTTTTACTACATATTATTCTTATGTAGCAGGAATAATATTCCACAATTTATTCTCAGGGGGCAATGTCTAGGGACAATTAGTACAAATTTGAGGCTTTGAGTCTTCAACGAAGCTTTTGTAAGTTCATAGAAAATAGAAGATTCTAATGCTGAACCTCTTCCATTAGTTCAAATTATCTGTGCTATTATATACATGGATTCTTTGAAATTTCAGAAGCTGGAAATCATAAAAATAATGTAAACCTGGACTATAGATCTTCGTTTGTACACCACTAGCATACCACAAATAGTATGAGACAGTTTTTCGTTCCAAATGGTTAAGAATTTTAATTTTGGGGACTGGAGATTTAGTGGCATAAGCGCCTGCCTTGCAAGCAGGCAGCCGTGAGTTCGATCCCCGATACCGATAAAAAGGAAAAAGACCAAAAAAGAATTTTAATTTTGTGGCAGTGTGGTAAGAATATATCTGAGGTTAAGTAAGGTAAGGAAGATGATATTTGGCTGTGTCTGATGCAGTCTTGCATTAAAGTAATACTTGAAGGATAATGACATGGCCCCTGAGAGACACTCAAATATATTCTAGTAATGAATCTCAAAATTTCAGTATTCCCTTCTGCATTTAGCAATAAAGATCTGCTCCACTAAGATTCAAAAGAATGTCAGGAGTATTTTAGACCTGAAAACATGAATTTTTATTGAGCATTTGTACAAGACCTAATGTCCAGTGACAGAAACGGAGTCCAAAAACATACAATGCATCAACCTGAGAAAATTAAAAATTTAAATAAGGGACTCATCAAGGAGACAGGATGCTTACTTTGTATGTATGCTCAGCCTGTGCAAGAGGAGGGCACAGAGATAGTGTGAGTGCTACACCTGCCAGGGTTAGTGGTGCGGGAAGTGAGTTTACCCGGCTTATAATATAAGAGAGGAGAAAAGGCTTGTTCCTCCTTTTGCTCTGGCTGCTTTTGCTGGCTGCTACTTGAAGTGTTGCCTCTATACTGTGCCATCCTGTCTTGAAGCCAACTAATTATGGACTAAAACCTTCACAAACAGTAAGTTAAATAAACCTTTGTCACTTTGGGTGTCAAGCCCTTTGTCCTAGCAAGAAGAGAAAAGTAACCAATACAACCACCATCTCCTATGTTTGCCCTATGGGAAGAATGTCTGGCATTGAAGATAGTCACCCATGATTTCAAGGTGAATTAATCCACCATAAATGTCCCATGGTTTATCCTTGCAGTGTGCTACAGTTTTCCCTGTTAGATGGGGTCTGCTTTTCCAAGTGTATTCCTGGGTCAGCACTCAGACTGACATTCTGACAAACATGGCAGGAGAACCAACACCTAGTGAGCATCATCTCAGTCTGAAAGTTTCTTCTCTGGAGCTTTAGATCTCCCCGTCCTCATGTCCACCCTCTGCCTTCTACTGCCAGTCATTGTTCCTTTTGTGTTTTATGTGCTTATCATTTTTTAATTTTTCAGAGTCATTTTAGCCCTTAACCCTTTAAAACGTTGTACCATAGAATGGAGATGGCTTTTACTTTTTTAAGACAAACCATATTTCAGAGATGGAATTTTGGCATTAAATGGTCTTCCAAGGAATGAAAAGTTGTCAAGTAAGAAGTAAATGCATGGTTATAACATGACTGGGTCATTAAATGAAACACCTCTGCCTTTAATTACAGTAGCAGCTATATAGAAAGCATGTGATTTGGGTGAATTTCACTGAAAAAAAATGTAAAACATATTTCTCAACTAATAATACCCAACACAAAGGGGAGACAGCTGCAGAGGATTTGAAGAGGAGGTCACAGAGACCTCAGTCACAGGGTCTGAGCACATCAGAGTTCAGGGTTGAGCTCTGAGTCTCTTCCTAGAGGGCTTAAATTCCACACAGCCTCCAGGGAGTAGCTGTCCCTTCCTCCCTGGAGCTGCAGCTGAGGTTCCCTGCTGACCTCATGGCTGGAGCACTCTCAGTAGGGTCCCTGGGAGGAGAACCTTGTGCATCCTGACATCACCAACTGTCACCTGATCCCCTCCTGGCATTTCTTCTTTCTTTACCAAATGTCAGATCCACTCACCAACCATCATAAGCTGAATCAGAAATAGAAAAGTGCCTGAATTATATGCTGTTTGGCATTGAAGCTAGTGAAACCACTCAGGAGTTTCACACATGTGAAGTTCAAAATAATATTACATAATTGTATTTCAACTTCACTACCCTCTAGATATTAGAAACATCACTCCACACTGTTCTGAAGTAAGAGAAACTCATTGTGAAAAAAGTCGCAACTAAACAAGATTTAAAGACTACAAAAGTATGAATCAACTTATCAAAAAATCAATTTAACTATATATATATATATATATATATATATATATATATATATGTAAACCTTAGTTATAAAATCTAGAAAACTTAGTGCAGAAGATTGAATGGAATCATAGTAGAAGACATCAGGATTTAATTTTCAACAATTCATAGTATGCCCAGGCATAGATCAGTGGGGGAAAGTGGAAGTCTTCATCAACTCTTAGGCTAGTCAAACCTACCGGGCATAAATAGAACAGATCACTAGGAATAGTAGTAGCAGAGAACATGGTTTTCTCCTCTCCTGCTCTTGGAGCACTGCCATCACAAATGAGGACCAAAGCAGTCATAACAAATTTCAGAAGATCTGATTCACTCAAACTGTGATCTGAAGACAATGCAACTGAATTGAAAATCAAGGATAGAAGAGTAACTGTAACATTCCTAGATATGAGGAACTAAAGCATTACATTTGTAATAAGGATTCAGGTAAAGATGATACCAAAAGGTACTACAAGATATCACACTACAGATGAAAAGGCAAAGACAACACACTTTAGGAAGGCTGCAAGAGTTGTGATATGTTGTGCTATGCAGTGCTCCTGCTGTGGTACCTCCATTGTTGAACTGCCTCAAACACCTGCTTCCCAGGACTCCAGCTTAAAATTTGAAAAAAGTCTACTCGGTGTTGGTAACTTTGCTCCATAGTGGAACTGAAAGTTCACCTGGAAAAAAAAAATCTGTGTGATCCAAGAATGAGGCACAAATTTCATCTCTCCATGGATACAGAGGGGTGAGCCATCAGTGTAAGCCCAGCCACCACCCCTGGACCCTGTGCACTACTAGACAACATGGAGAGCTTGCCTTAGTACATTACAACCTGCCTCACTGTACTGTTTTTGAGGGGGTGTTATTTGCACAAACTTTCTTAACCATGGCTCCAGCAGTAAAGATAAGAGGAAAGCTGTAGGAACCATAATAAATTTAAAAATTTATAAAATATGTTAAAATCCTAGGAAGACCATTTTACTGTATAAGAGCAATTTTTGGGCCTCAGAACCAATTATTTGATTTTCTATTATTTCTCATGGTGAAAAATATGTTCAGTTCTTGAACTTTTTATTCTTGGAACATGATTGTAGTACAAAATGATTTTGACAACCAATGTATCACTGTATGAGTAAAATAAAAGTTTGGTGGCCATCCTCCCAAACAGCCAAGTGTGTTGTGACTGAGATGTTTCTCCTACTGAATATGTTACCATCATCTTCTGGGTTAGGTACAGTGACAGGGACACCTACAGATAAACCTAAGTAACATGAGTCAAAAAGAAAACCACGCAATCTGAGCTACTCAGGGACCAGATTTCCATGTTTGGGCCAAGGGTCCCATCCTGGGGCAGCTGCCATGGGACTTGGCTCTGTCGCCCTCACAAAGTTCAAGTGGAAGGCTGAGGATGCTTCTCTCATTACTGAAGCAGCTCTGTGCTCACTATAGAAGAATTAGCAGCCAGCTGTCCTCATTAAGTCTCTGCTTATTTGTGCCAAAAGTAGGTTGAATCAAGCTGTACATGACTAGTACATCGTCACAATGGTTCAAATGAAATTATATATTAAGTATTCTTCTGTCACTCGCTCCCTTTCAACTGTTCTAAAGCCATGCATGGTTAGAGGATGTCCTCGTAATAATGGCAGATAGGATCTTCTACATTGTTGCCCAATTATACTATTGGCCAGTGTTGTTGTAAAAATTTATTTTGATCATTCACAGCATCACATATGAGGACCTACAACTCATTGGCTGTTGGTGCACAGGATG